TTTTACATTATTGAGAAAAATTCTGGCAGGATAATGATTGAGGAGAAAAATAAAGCTCATCAGAGCCATTATTTCAGGATGGACAAGTTCTCTTTGCTAAGAACATTCTTTGAAAAGATTTTCAGTGAAACGATAAGTCTTCATTAAACATTATCTGGTAAAAATTCTGAATTTGATCTTTCTTAGGTATTTCCACAATGAGAACCTTAAATAAAAAATGTGATTTATTTTGACATGAGACTGTGATTTGCTGTTATAGATTTAAAACATGTTTCAAACTTCTCATGGATTCAGACAGAGACCCTGGAATCCCCTATTCTTCCTGCCTCCAGCTGTTTGAATCTCCCAAAGAGACAAATGCACACAGAAGAATCCGCAACATGGCACCTGCCCCAGTCTTTCCTGACTGACTGGGAAGTAAGGCATTAGCCCTGTCAGGGCTGGATTAACCCACACCTTGGTGAACAAACACATCATTGCTAGTGCTTTAATATGCTGTGTTGGAGTCCATTGTTACACAGGAACACATAACAAGGTGGTTCTACAGCCACTAGAAAAAATAATGTTCTTATAGTTAACTGAGGGTTCTGGATACCAAAGTTACACTGTCATGTGTGTGTATATATATATATATATATATATATATATATATATATATATATATACATTTTCTCTGATGTGAAAGAATTTGATTGGGGAAGGAAAAATATCTCTCAACTAGTGTCAAAATAATTAAGTGGCAAATTTTCACATGTTCCCTCATTTTTACTAGTACATTTCTCAATATTTGAACTAAGTCACTATGCCTTCTAAGCTTGACACAGTTTCTTGTTTACCCATGCACTATTGAAGAGCTTATTTTCTGAGTTTTTAGACCCTGCAGGTGGCCACTTCATGGGAGCAAGAATCTTTCTCTTGTGTGTTCATTAAATTATGTCAAAGACTGAAGACAGTGTAAACTCATACCAACAAAAACATATAACCTACACATTTTAAAATCAAAAACTAGCCGGGCGGTGGTGGCGCACGCCTTTAATCCCAGCACTCGGGAGGCAGAGGCAGGCGGATCTTTGTGAGTTCGAGGCCAGCCTGAGCTACCAAGCGAGTTCCAGGAAAGGCGCAAAGCTACACAGAGAAACCCTGTCTCGAAAAACCAAAAAAAAAAAAAAAAATCAAAAACTAAAAACAGCTTTAATGTATTATTAGTGTTCAAAAGTCTAATGAATCCAAAAGTTGACAAAGTACTCAATATAAAGAATTGAGTATTTTACTAATAGAAAATGTCTGAATACCTTGGTACCATGGATTTAGTTATCGTTATTACAGTAATAGGTAAGATGTGGCATCTAAAACCATGGGTGTTTTACAATATCTCATCACAAATCTTATTCAAATGAGAAAGAACAATTACAACACCATCTTTCTTTCTTTCCTTCTGTTGTAATAAAAATACACTGACAAAGGCAGTTTAGGAGAGAAAGGGTTTATTCTGGCTCACAGTACAATGTGGCTCCGAAGCTGTAGTTGCAGGAGCTTGAAGCAAATAGTCATATTGCATCAACAGTCATGAAACAGAAAACACTGAACATTTGAAAGTAGCCAGCTCATTTTCTCCATTTATACAGTCCAGGGTCCCGTGCCCAGGCACTGACTAGTCTGGTCAACAGTCAACATGGGTCCTCCCACATCAATTAACTTATTCAAGATAATCTCTCACAGGCACAGCCAGAAGCTGTCTCTTATGTTCATCTAACTTGTGTCAATTTAATACTACTATTGTACACAATGTGAATAGAAATAAACAAATAATTAAAAAGCATGTTCAGGGTGATGTAATTTATTTCTATTAAAATTGATTTTAAAAAGGTATTTAACAATATACATAAATATTATGTATTTAGCTGATGTGTACGTAAAGCACACAAACACATACACACACAGTGAGGACCCCATATATTCATAGAAGGTGTCAGATAGCGCATTGCTCAGAATAATATAGATAAACATGGAAATGCTGGAACTTGTATCCACAGGCAGATAGAAATGCTATTGCTGAGGAAGCAGCCTCCAAGGAGATATACAATGACAGTTTGGGTATTCACCAATCTGATAACCAGAGTCGGTCATTAGGTCATTTCAGGCACCCTCTCCACTGTTGCTAATAGTCTCAGGTGGGGTCATCCTCGTGGATTTCTGGAAACTTCCTTAGCACCATTTCTCCCCATTCTCATGATGTGTTCATATTTCATGATAGCTCTTTCCTTGCTCTCCTACTCTGTCCCTGTTCCAGCTCGAATATCTCATGTACCTGCAAGCTAGATTTAAAAATTGGTAACATAAGGGACTAAGATGATGATTTTTACTTTCTGTATTTTATCTGTATTTGAAACATGTAACAAAATTGTTGCTGGAGAGCTTCTCTCCAGGTTCCCCAAGCCCCGCAGTCCCACAATCCACTTATAAAATAA